GAATTCCTGATCTGGTGTCTGAAGCTGTAAAGTACTGGATAGGAAGAAATCAACTAAAATGGAATCCCTGCCTTTTGAAATTGCTGCTTATTAAGAAACAATGTTTTCCCTGTTATCTCTGGTAGTAACTTTGCTCAATTTTGGTTCATATTCTAGTTGTTGCCCTTCCTGGAGCAGGAATCCCTAACAGCATTAACTTATGCCCTAATCACATTTTGGATAGACTAGTGCAATATGTCTTTTTTATTATATTTGTGAAGAATTTTACATAAAGATAAATAGAATAAAATAAGTTATCAAATGTAATTACTTCCAACCACTTTTTCAAGAGATAATTGTAATCTTATAATTCAGTGGTTCTCAATCTGTGGGTCGGGACCCCATTTGGGGTCAAACGACCATTTCATGGGGGTCGCCAAACAAGGCTGTCTGCCATTTTTCCCCCTTTTCTTTGGCCACGCCCCTGGCACCTGGTGATGTATAAGTGGTTGGGGGTCACCACAACATGGGGAACTGTATTACAGGGTCGCGGCATTAGAAAGGTTGAGAACCACTGTTATAATTCTTCCTTCCTCTTGGATGCTCTATAAATTTCTTTATTCCTTCACTCGATCTAGATCTTTTTTAATCATCAAATTCATAAATCATTGTATTATTTTTTCTTTTTTCATCAAAACATCCACCTCAGATTTCCAGTCTTTTTTTTTAAAAAAAAAGTTTTTGGCTTTGATTAAATAAGTCAGCTTTGGCATTTTAGCAATTGCTGTCATTTTCACAATTCACTTTGGGAATTTCATTCATCTTTGAGCATACAGTAATCTTTGTACACTCAAGAATATGGCTAAAATTGGATTCCAGTCTTACATATGTTTTCTAATGTAAAAAAAAAAACCCACAGGTGCATCCTTTAGTTTTCTTTCTTTTTTATGTAATTAGGTGCCACGTTTCAGAACCAAGGAATTTCAGGGCTGCTCAGTATAATAATTGAAAATAAACAACAACAACAAAAAGACGTAACAGGTTATTGGGCTTCACACAAGAAGGAATCATTATAGAGAGAATTGTCAATATTTTGAAAATATAGAAAAAAACCTGTTTAAATAATTTGAAAATAAGATGAATTATGTTTTTTATTATTATTTAAGGGATTTCATGAATGGTTAATTTTGTTTTCATTTTTGCTAAAGAAAGCCCCTATCATACTTCTTTGTATTTTTGTCCTGTATATAATTCCCAATTGTGGACTTTGAATTATATGATCTTTTTTTAACATATTATTAAGCAGTATAAGGTAAATGCTGGGATTAATGCTCAGGTCCTTTATTTTAACTTAACCCATAGAATGGGTTATATGTCTTTTTTTTAAATCAGTATATCTGCATGATTTAATTTAAGCTTCAAAATCCATGGAGTGTGTTCTTAATACTTGGATTAATTACCCACATAATATATTTAATTAATATTTAGGGTTCTCGAGTCTATTCTACATCTCCATAGAAGAACTGTGATGATTTTTTTTATTTTATAATAGCTGAGGTTAAAAATCAGCAGGATTGTACAGGAGATCCAGCAGTTTTTCTGTTTGGGATAACTTCAAATACTCTGCTAAAAGTATATATTGTATAGTTTTAGGTATATATTCTCAGCATTTTTGTTACTCAAAAAACTATTTAGTCAATTTCATGCTTTTTATAATATTTTATAACTGTTACTACTTAGAAATAGTGCAAATGCTTTACAGAAATTGTCAGACAAATTACCAAGAAGTAAGAAGCAACTACCAGAGTAATACCAAATCAGCTTGAATATCTTTCTTTTGTATTCCTGTTATGTTTTAGTATGAATTTTCAATCTACTAAGAAAAATAAATTGGATAGAAGCAATACTTTTGTTTTACAGCTGCATTGTAAAATATCACTTCATTAATAACAACAAGGTAAAAGGACTGCAGTGCAGACAAACTTGTACATATATTCTGATTTTTAAGACATCTATAATTCTTCTCAATTGATGCTTTGAAAATCGGAACTGGCACAAAGTTTCTAGGTTTTGCCAGATTACTAATTTCTTGGTTGAATGCCTTATTCCCAAATTGTGGTTTATTCCAGTATACTCTTGTGCTTAATTCTGGCCACACAGTTCCTTATGCTGTCTTTTAAGGCAAAATTACTAATTGTCCTCTTCAATGCATATACAAAAAGTAAAGGAGCATCTGATTTCAAATGGCATTGAGAAAACAAATATTAAAAGCCTGGATCCATTCATCTTTCTTTCTTTCTTTCTTTCTTTCTTTCTTTCTTTCTTTCTTTCTTTCTTTCTTTCTTTCTTTCTTTCTTTTTTCTTCACTTAGACTATACAATATAAAACTTTCCATAATAAACAATCAAGTGGTTGATGTCATAAATGTAAATTGGCTATTTGGTCACAAACAACATTATTAAGAAATGTATGTACTGTATATATTAGTTTGTCTTTCCTTAATACATTGTACAAGTATCCTCAAGCATCAAAGAAAACAACTGTCAGTGAATCTTCAAAGTTTTTCTGGAGGGAGATCTTGTAGAAATTAACTGATTACTATTTGTTTTTATCCCAAACTCAGGGATTCATTAAAGTAACCAGAATTGCTTCTGCAATTTATTAAAAATTAGACTTTTAGTGTGGATGGGTTGGAAAATCTCCTTACTACATATTAGAGAATTAAAACTTATGAAGTAAAGTTTCCTATCCATTAAAATTGTTGCTTTAGTTGCCTAAAGGACACCATTTTAAAACATGCCACCATGCAAAATTATACTATTACAAATCTTTTTGTGTTAAGACATGACATAAGTCTTAAGAGAGTTTTAGAAGATTGAAATCATTCAATTTATTATTATGGCTTTGTTTTGTTTTGTTTTACTTAAAGACAGAATATAAATGATTGCTAACAAAGATACACCATAAAATGCTGATAGGTAGAGATTTGAAAACTTTTCTTTTCTGCTCCAATGACCTATGTGTGTTCAAGTGATTTTTTCACTGTGAAAAGAAAACTTTTACTTGAAGTATGTTCATCTTGATGGTAAAAAGTTGAATAATTGATCAGGTTGTTAAAAGGAATTGCCAGAGATTTGTATTTTCAGATTTAACAGATTCTGTCAATATAACCTTACAATAAAGTAGAATTAGCTTATGTGGTAATGACAGCCTTCATGGATGGTTTAAAAGAGGATTGGACAGATCCATGAATGATCAGGCTATCAAACTCCCTGATATTGTTGGCTGTTTTTTACTATCTACTGAATTATAGAAGAAGGACTTAAATGAAGGTGAAAAGAGGCTTTCACTCTTTAGTCACAGATTGTGGGCTTTCTAAGTGGCCACTACTGTATATGCACCCACTAATTGGGTCTATAGCATCATCCAACAAAAAAAATTATATGCCCTTACAAAATGAAGCATTAGCATAAGAAAGTTGCCCCATCTCCAACTCCCTGCTTAACATGGCAGCAGCAAGAACATGGACTGATTGACAATAGCTAGCTTTGAAAAAGGACTATTCACATCAGAGAGATGCTCTATTGTTGGATAGAATTCTGCTGCCTCATGTTTTCTGCTCAATTCTTCATTAAAAAAAGAACTTGGCAAGAGCAAGGCACATAACACAGGAAAAAGTTTATCCAAAGAAAATTCCCAGCTCTTCTTAATTTGGAAAGAATTCTTCAAAGTAAGACATTGTACCCATCCTTCACTCTCTACACCATTTTCTATCAGTGACATTTTACATTACTGAGAAAATGCCCAGAATATTTTTTTTAGAATGAAGTTGCTGTTCAAAATGAGGGATTAGGTACAATTGACCTCAGAATGTCTGGTGAGTAGATGGCAGTGACAGGCACTGCTTGCCAGAAAAGTGAGTCAAATAATATTAATCTCTCCTGAGTTATATCAGCTCTGAATGATCCAATGGCACATAATGAAACAAAACAGATTTATTTGGACTTCAGTAAGGCATTTGATAAAGTAGATCACAACCTACTACTTGACAAGATAGAAAAATGTGGGTTAGACAGCATCACCACCAGATGGATCCATAGCTGGCTGACCAGCCGTACTCAGCATGTAGTCCTCAATGGAACTGCATCTACATGGAGGGAAGTGAGTAGTGGGGTGCCCCGGGGCTCGGTTCTGGGCCCAGTGCTCTTCAACATCTTCATCAATTATTTGGATGAGGGGATAGATGGGGAGCTCATCAAATTTGCAGATGACACCAAGCTGGCAGGAATAGCCAACACTCCAGAAGACAGGCTTAAGATATAGAAGGATCTGGACAGAGTTGAACATTGGACACTATCTAACAAAATGAAATTAAATGGTGAAAAAAGTAAGGTTCTACATTTAGGCAAGAAAAACCAAATACACAGATATAGTTTAGGAGGTATCTTGCTCAATAGTAGTAACTGTGAGAGGGATCTCAGAGTTCTAGTGGACAATCACTTAAATATGATCCAGCAGTGTGTGCAGCTGCCAAAAAAGCCAATACAGTGCTAGGCTGCATTAATAGAGGGATAGTCTCAAGATTACGTGAAGTGTTAATATCACTTTACAATGCCTTGGTAAAGCCACACTTGGAATATTGCATCCAGTTTTGATCACCATGATGTAAAAAAGATGTGAGGACTCTAGAAAGAGTACAGAGAAGACCAACAAAGATGATTAGGGGACTGGAGGCTAAAACATACAAGGAACAGTTGCTGGAATTGGGTATATCTAGTTTAATGAAAAGGACAAGGGGGGACATGATAGCAGTGTTCCAATATCTCAGGGGTTGCCACAAAGAAGAGGGAGTCAAGCTATTCTCCAAAGCACCTGAAGGCAAGAGAAGAAGCAATGGATGGAAACTAACCAAAGAGAGATGCAACCTAGAATTAAGGAGAAACTTCCTGACAGTTAGAACAATTAATCAGTGGATCAATCTGCTTCCAGAAGCTGTGGATGCTCCAATACTGGAAGTCTTTAAGAAAAGATTTGACAGCCATTTGTCTGAAATGGTATAGGGTTTCCTCCTGGGCAGGGGGTTGGACTAGGTGATCTCCACAGTCCCTTCTAATATTATTGTTGTTATTGTTATTGTTATACTGTGAAATCAATTGTTCATTATGCTACTGTACTGTGTTGGATTTTTTATTGCTATTTCTTGACTTTGTTTATATTTTTTAACATTTCAGGACATTTCTTAGCCCAACCTTCACTTTCTCATTCCTAAGACTGTATATGAAAGGATTCAACATGGGGGTCACTATTGTGTTCAGCACAGTGCCCATTTTGTTAAAATCAAGCACATTTTCTTTGGTTGGGCGGACATAAATAAATATAGAACTCCCGTAATATAGAGTTACCACAGTGATGTGAGATACACAGGTTGAGAAGGCTTTCTGGCGACCTTGTGCTGAAGGTATTCTCATTATAGTAATAATAATATACATGTAAGATACAGTGGTTACAAAAAGTGATCCCAAGAGTAATATACAAGAAGTCCCAAAATCAATAATTTCAGCCAGCGATGTGTCACTACAGACCAATTTGAGTAAAGGTGCACTATCACAGAAGAAGTGATTAACAATATTTGGGCCACAGAATGGTAATCCAGCTGTCACAATGCTGGGAATTAAAATAATCATGAAACCACCAACCCATGACCCCAATAAAAACTGGAAACAAGTCTTATTGTTCATAATCAAAGCATAGTGCAATGGGTAACAAATTGCAAGGTAACGGTCAATGGACATGACAGCCAATATAAAAAATTCAGTTGATCCCATCAGAAAATAGAAAAATGATTGGGTAAGACAACCCACAAAGGAGATTGTCTTCTTCCCTGTGATCATATTTATTAGCATTTTAGGCACTACAGTTGATGTGATCATAAGTTCAAGGAATGAGAGGTTACCCAATAAAAAATACATTGGCAACTGAAGATGATGATTGACCACCACTAATATAATTAATGTGACATTTCCTGTAATAATTAATGCATATGCAAAGAAGAAAAGAATGAGGATGACAATCTCAATTGAACGAATGGTGTGAAATCCCAGGAGAATGAATTCAGATACAAGGGTTTTATTGACTAAATTCATACTTTGATGAATATTATGTTATTCATTAACAAATAGTGCAGTAAAATAAGAGACAAAGAAATGAAAAGAAGGAATGATAGAAGAGAGAGAAAATAGAACTATTAATCAGATCCACAATTGACATATCTGTAAAAACAAAGAATTAGGTAGATTAGTAGACAATAGATGCATCAAGCAAAGTTATTTATAAGATTACATATTCATATTAATTATATACTGCTTCTAGTTTCATCCTCATACACTCAGACTATTACTTGAGAAATTATCAGTTTGATTTTCAGGCAACAGGCATAACAATCAATTCATACTGTCTTATATGTTAAACAAAGCAAAGACTTGCCTACAAATGTATTTTTCAAAGAGGAGAATGAAAAACAGCCACCTAAAGTTAGTCCAGGGTTCAAGAGCCAGATCAAGGTTGTCAGCAAGTCCAAAGGTCTAAGATTCAAGAGTGAAATACATAAATAGGGATCACATCTAAGCTAGACATTGTTTTCAATAAAGAGAACAGAGATAAATAACCAAGTCCCTTATATAGGCTGCAGTCAACTGTCACTCCTTGGAATGTCGCTTCAATCAACTGTCACTCCTTGGAATGTTGCTGCAGTCAACTGTCACTCCTTGGAATGTTGTTGCAACTGTCTCTAACTCTGTTTTACACTTCTTTCTACTGACTCCTGACAAATCATCACTGCATTACTTTTTTGACGATGTGATACAATGGGTTGAATAGCAAATTGCCACACTTGACAAATTTAGGGAACTAAAAGAAGTGAAAGAAAATAAATATAACTAGTAATTACTGCATTGCTATTGTTGTGGGCACAGTGGGATAATAAGTGTTTGCTCACACATTCATCAGAGGTCCAGCTTAATTAAGGGACATTCGACTGACAAACTAACTATTGTAGATGACCATTTCTAGGAAGCCAATATGGTTTGAAAATGAGAACAGTTTTTTTTAAAAAAAAACTATTTTAGATTTAATAATCATAATCATAAATAATTTGGGAGACATTGTTGATGTCAATACATTTTTAATCTCTGGCCTGCCCCCCTTTTGAATAGTAGTCTTCAAGGCTAAATTTTATACAAATTTTGTAATTCCTTCAGTTTCTTCCATAATAAATAATAGAAAAGGAGCACATCTATAGAAGTAGTTGTATAGTCCTTTAGATCCTAAATAAGATAATTCATTTAAAATTTACATTCCAGCCAGATTGTGCCTATTTTAAATGTGCATAAATGCTGCAGATTTTAGGTATGGAAAATGAAATAGAGAAGATAGAATAACTCAAATATTTTGAATAAAATAAGTAAATGTTGGCTCATTGATTCATAACTCTACAATTTTGAGTCTACTAAAAAGATTCACTTTGTATTTAATGGGAGACCAATGAGCATGCTTCATTATTTGCTTTTGTGTAAAATTAAATTCCTATGTATTAAAAGAAATCTCTAGGAAATGAGAAACTTTGTATGGCTAACCCTTATATACTTATATGTACATCAGATACAGAGTATAATCTGACTGACATATTATGTTGTATGTATGCTATAATAATTGATTATGTATATGAAATTATCAAATGGCAATTAAGTTAATAAGCTGATTGACTGGCTTTATCCAAACTCTGATATTGAATGAAGAGATAATAATGGTACAATATATACATTTAATATACATTGAACCTGAACACACATCACCTTTACCCCTAATTTAATTCTGCCTATGTAGACTAATCCTAACCCTATGTGAACCAAAAACCTGTGAAGCTGTCCAGAACAATGGCTGGTGTGTGAAATCCTAAATGTTTCTAACTAATAGTTCAAACTGAAAAAAATCAAAATTAGTTATTAGCTGTCTGTAAAGAAACAATAAGATATAAGGAGGTGAATTAAAATTGTAAAATTAATAGAGAACTTAGAATGCTAGATTGTATCAACATAGTGGGAATTATTCATGCTTACCTTCAATAATACAGCAAGGAAAAGTAATGGAGTCAGCACTGAAAATCTTTGATTTTTTTTTTAAATTATATCTTCAAAATTTTTAACCATCTCAGTGAGATCCCATATTAATAGATCTTAATTCTAAAGATACTGAACAAATGAAAAGTCCATTGATTCTCATTATCTTTAGTTTAAGGCATTTTAAAGAAAGTTCTTATTAGTGATATGTATTGAATCTCCTTAAAAAGATACTTATACTTTAAGCATTCTTGCTAAGTGCTGCAGGTAATTAAGGAACAGTTAATTAAGAAGTTAATACCGCTTCTGCAGTAACATATGCATAGGAAGACTTACAAGTGATATTCTTACTGTCTATAAGATTTTTCAAAAAGAAGCTTCTGCACTTCCTTAAAGTATTGCTGACAGCAAAACAATAATTACTGTTTCTTTCTTGTATGCCTCATGGGTGTTTGCCAAAAATATCAAACTATCCTTTGAGAATTAATTAGGACACTGCTGCCAGGAATTTAGGAGACTAAAAATATGAAAATACTGTATGTATTGCATAAATACTATATGCTGCATAAGAAGACATTTTATTCCAGTAGATGCTTTTTAACAGTCCAATACAATATGTGTTCTATGATCAGTCACAATGAACATACAGACAACTTTGATTTATGCCTGGGTGATGGTCGATTTTGCCTAAATTATATAAACATAATATAATTTACTTCTAAGAAGCTTTTTTTAGTGGATTGCATTACATTGCATAAGTTGTCTGATAATTAAATGACTTGTCTGTTATACTGATACAAAATACATATTAACATAAATTCATATTTCTGAATTTTTAAACAAGCAGAGGGATTATTACACTAAATCTAATGACATTTCAGAACTATAAGAGACATCATAGTAATGTGGGAAAGAAATAGAATAACATAGAATAAAGAAGAATAAAGTATAATAATAATAATAATAATGATGAAAAATCACTAAAAGCAAAAATCATGTGTCTGCATAATCTCTGAAAGAAAGCTATGTTAGCAAAAGCTGTATTAGCAGTATGTGAATGACCTAATGCATATTTAGAAACATTGTATAAAAGTAAAAACTGCCTTCATTGTATTCCCATGAGAAATGGACCTAACGTGTGAGAAACTATTTGAATGTTACACAAAGTAGATTCCATATACAATGTAAGATTCCATCTATGCTTCCTTTGTTCCTGAGAAAAAGAAACCTATAAAGGTTTAGTTTAGACCCTCCCCCTTGTTCAGAAATTTGCTGATTGTTAAGTCACTTCTGAACCTTTTTGCGCAAAAATAAAAATCTCTCTTTCACCTTCGGAATTTCGTAAAAGCCCTTTATTTTTTTAAGGCTTTATTTTTCCACAAGATTTATGGCAACTCCGCCGGGACATTTTTAAGGGCTTTTAAGAAAAAGGATTTAACCTTCCAAGATGGATTGCCCTGGTGGCCCCCCCCTCTCCTAAATGACGACAGCTCCAAAAGCTGGCTTTGTAGCTCTTGACTACGAGGACAACTCGACGGGAGGAAAGGGATTTAACCCATCAGGAAGCATTCCAGTCTGAGGATCCATGAGGGTGACAGACAGATCTTAAATCAACAAAGGAGTCTGGAAAACGCCTGCAGGCAAGTATTGTAAAACAGGGGAAACCTGATCCCTTTTGGATTGGAAGAGGGGACTGATCATCCCCTGAGAAGGCAAAGGTGTCGTCCTTAAGCCTTCAATAGGCAGGATTGTGTGGGAGGTTAAACCATTGTAGCTCATGCTGAGTGATCGATGGTAGTGTATTAGAGAGATGGGTGGGAAAAAGTCAAAGGAGAGCGTTGACCAGACGCCACTCCAGTGCATGTTAAAGAATTTCAAAAGGGGTTTTTCTAGGGATTATGGAGATCCAAAACCAAGTCCAGCCATGTTAAAAAGATTCTGTGAATCTGAGTGGACTGCCCTGGGCGTAGGGTGGCCAAAAATGGGATCGGCGAATCCCGAACTCGTTGCACGGGTTCATCAAATTGTGACTGGAAATGGTTATTGGGACCAGTATCCCTACATTGACCAATGGAAAATCAACATTGCAGAAAAACCGAGATGGTTAGCAAAATGTCAGATAGAGTGTGCAAAGATATATTTGGCAAGCCAAAAAGCCAAGCCTCAAACAAAAGCTAAGATTTTCAGCCAGGAAGATAGGGAGGAAATTGCCAGACCACCCCCCTACATTCCTAGAAGAGAAGAAGGGAGAATAAATCAGCAAATTCCACTCCCTCTGCCTGAAAGAGAAGCCCAATTTCAGCCAGAAGCCAGTGAGGAAGGAAAATTAGCAACAGCTGGATCCCTTCAAGAGACAGATAAAAGCTTGAATAACTTTGAAAGTGAAACCTCAGTTTCTAGCCGCAACAGGAGCAAGTTAGAAATAAAAACAGAAGAAAATATTGCCCCTCTAAGAGAGGTGTTGGTTCCTGGACCAGATAACACTAACATTTCAATGCTACAATATGTTCCTTTTATGACCACAGACCTTTTGAATTGGAAATTACATTTTGGGCCATTTTCAGAAAAACCCCAAGAGATAATTGATTTATTTGCAAATATCATTCAAACTCATAATCCTAATTGGGATGATATCCAACAGCTTATCGCTACTTTACTAGATGTTGAAGGCAGAGAAAAATATAAATTAGGAAAAATGAAAGTTTTAGCCAGAAGACATCCAGAAGGAGGAGTTAATTATGAGGCACACAGAAATACAGACGCTGTGGAACAGAGACCAGACTGGAATTCCAATAATGCCCAACATCAGACTTTGTTAAAAGCTTATCAGATGTTATGTTTAGAAGCTTTAAGGGAAGCAGCCATCCGCCCAGTTAATTATTCTGCCGTAACCAATGTTTGGCAGGAGAAAAATGAATCCTCAATTGCTTTCCTTAGCAGATTAATAGAAGCTTACAAAGTAAATACAGGTCTTGATATGGAAACGGCTGAAAACCGCCCGCTCCTAATTGAAAGATTTATTACCCAGAGTGCCCCAGATATACGAAGGAAACTACAGCAGACAGAAGGGGCCTTACAGAAAAATATAGCAGAGATTATGGAAATCGCAAGGAAAGTGTTCCGTAACCGTGACAGGGAGGAGGAACGTAAATCAGATCAAAAAGAAAAAAAGAAAGTTGAAATGTTAGCCGTAGCATTGGGAGGAACATGCCTAGGACCCAATCAGTGTGCCATCTGTAAACAAGAAGGACACTGGCAAAGGGAGTGCCCCCAGAGGAATGGCCAACCCAGGGGACAATCTCTCCAGTATGGAAGAGGGAGAGGAAGAGGATTTAGAGGGACTTTCCAGAGAGGCTTCAGAAAGAGCTTTAAAGGAAGAGGGCATCCAGTTTATCCCAATCAGACAGAGGAAAGAGAAGAAAACATGATCGGCTTAGCTGCCATGGAATGGGAAGACTGAAGAGGACAGGGTTCTATCGCCCCACCCCCAGAGCCCATTGTTAAAATACGGGTGGGAGGACAGGTTGTCCTGATGCTAATTGACACGGGAGCCACCAGATCTGTCCTAAATAAATCTATTGGCAAGCAATCAAAGCAGACTATTCAAATTCAGGGAGTATCTGGAGAAAGAGCCGAGGTGGCGCAGCAGTTAGAGTGCAGTACTGCAGGCCACTTTAGCTGACTGGGTTCAGCAGGTCAGCGGTTCAAATCTCACCGGCTCAAGGTTGACTCAGCCTTCCATCCTTCCGAGGTAGGTAAAATGAGGACCCAGATTGTTGGGGGCAATGTAAATATATATATATATATATATACATTGCTTACTGGTGTACACCGCTTAGAGAGTGCTTGCACTTAAAGCGGTATATAAGTCTCATAAATAAATAAATAAACTCAAATCAGACTACTCCTGGAACCCCTAACATGCCAAGTGGGACAAGGAGTCATTAAACACCAGTTTCTTTATGCTCCAGAATGCCCCGTCCCGTTATTAGGCAGAGATCTACTCACAAAACTTAAAGCGACCATTTCTTTTGACCACGGAAAACAATTAATGCAAGTGCGCCACCCAGTTTAAGAAATATGGTGTTTAATGATCGTAACAGAAACAGGAAAGGAAATGGGAAATTCTAATTGGCAACAATTTAATGTCCCACTCCTGTGGGCTGAGGATAATCCCCCTGGATTTGCAAAATTTGCCATGCCTGTTATGGTAAAGCTAAAGCCACAGGCATATCCTGTTAGGGTGCCTCAACGATAATGTACTCCAGAGGCTGCCACCGCCATTCAAGAATTAATCCAAAAATACTTGGTAGCAAAAATCATTAGAACAATTCAGTCTCCCTGGAATACTGCAATTCTACCTGTTCGTAAGCCTGACGGACAGTGGAGACCAGCACAGGATTTACACCCCATCAATAACTTGACCCTAACCCTACACGCAACTGTTCCTAATCCATATATTCTTTTGAGCACAATACCTGCATCTGCTAAATGGTTTTCAGTTGTAGACTTAAAAGATGCATTCTTCACAATACCTTTAGCTGAAAGTTGTCAGCCAATCTTTGCATTTGAATGGGCTAATCCAAAAACACAGGTTAAAACTCAATACATCTGGCCCAGGCTACCACAAGGATTTAATAATTCGCCAACATGCTTTAGTCAAGCCCTAGTCCTAGAACTTGCTTATCTGAAGTTAGTCAGACAAGAGGATTGTTGCCTTCAATATGTCGATGATGTCTTAGTAACTGGCCAAAGCAGGGAGGATTGCTTTGAAAACACATCCAGACTGCTCCAATTGTTACAAGACTGTGGTTATAGAGCATCCAAAAAGAAAGCACAATTAGTTCAAGAGACTGTAATGTATTTAGGCTATGAACTTTCACAAGGACAAAGAACTTTGGGCCCCCAGAGAAAGCAAGCTGTGTTACAGATTCCCATCCCACAAACAAAACAGGAAGTTAGAGCCTTTTTGGGAATTACAGGCTTCTGTAGAATTTGGATTCCTAACTTCGCTCTCACAGCTAAACCATTGTACCAAGTTTTAAGGGGACCAGAAAAAGAACCTCTTTTGTGGCAAGAGGAAC